TTTAGACTGTTTTGTTTTTAGACGATTGAACCTCTGCCCATCTTTACTTCTAAGAGTTTCAGCTTCTCTAAATTTTAGTTTTATTCCAATTCTTCTTACTTTCCTATTTCACAAATAACCAAATAACCGCTTACTTTTACAGCATTTTGTTGTCCGTCCCGTCGTTGTTCTGAGAAATGTTTGACCATGAACATAAAACTGTGATTTAGGAGCCACAAAACAGAATATTTGAAAACGAGTTGCAGCGTGAAAACTATCCTGAAACACCTTCTTTTTACTTTCATGTGGCCACCAAAAAAAAGTTTGAAAACGATGATGTCATAGCCCCGCCTCTACTATATGCTACGACCCCGAGGGTGTCTTCTTCTTGTGTTTACAGTTTGTAGGCTTTGTGTGCATGCTCCACACCTTGTTTCCTGTTTTTGTTTTGTTTTTTGCAACAGTGCAGCGCCACACACAGGCAAGGCATAGGTAGTGCAGCATTTATGGCTTGTTTTGTGGTTCTAAACATTTTTAAAAATGGTGCTCTGTTAACAAAGATACTTTAAAAAATGTTTAAAAAACTGTGTTTCTGTGTGGACAAGACCTTAGTTTCTCTTTAAGCTGCAATTTATGTAATTTATTTTAAAAATACACAATAAACAAAGATAATATGTCAGTTACCCTGTGAGTTCAAAATGACTGTATTTTTGAGGGTTTTGGGTCGCGTTTATGTTATTTTATTTCTTCATTGTTTATAAATGATGGTTTGTCAGGTTTTCTTATGAATCTTGTTCTTTTAAAATCCTGTTTATTTCAAGTAGTTTCTTATTTATTGCCGAAAACAAATTATATCTGCTTGTAATTTAAGCATAGCTTTGGAAACAAATAACCTGTTATATTCTGTCTTTCCATTTTATTATTTATTTATTGAAGTCCATATGACATTGCACTTTTAACAAGCTAAAATGAGTTTGAACAGGTTTGCTCTTTCACTCACTTGTCATCAGATCTTGTTTGGATGTGATTTTTCTGGTTTTGAAGGTCAAGCTGACAAATGCGGCAACAAGAACTTTAAACCCAACTTTCAAAACGTCTCCACCGTCCATGTGTTTCTGTACTTGTGGAGCCCAGTCCAGCGTATGAACCCTGCTTTTTGGGTTTTCCCTCGTGTATGTCAGAAAATAACTCGGGTAAAGAGGTTTGCGGTGGTCGGCTGGGTCCGTCTCTGAGCTGCACTCGAGTGTGGGATGGTGGTGGACCACATGGTGGACCATGTGAACAGGAAGGTGCAGGGTCGCTGTGAGGGGCTGAACCTCTGAGCTGTTTATCAGATAGCTAATGAAGCAACGCAATCCTGGGAGACCCCAAGAATGGAAGGGGGGGTTATAAAAAAGCAGGATGAGGTGAAGAACAGGAGTCTAAAATACAAACTATCACAGCTTTTCTGTTATCGCCCAGTAGGCTGATGAATAAACTATTCTCCAAATATTTCACTTTGCTTTATTCCTCACTACAATAAAAATACACAACATTTCATTTATTACATTTCCTGGTTAAAAATCAGCAGAGGCCGTATCACTCAGCTCCTGCCGTAAACATTTTCTCTGGCTGCAGGAGAAGCTGAGCCGCGTTCCCGGCTCCCATCATCACGGCCGTCCAATTTACTGCGGGCTACATATTCATCAGCGTGGGCTTACTTCATTACAAGTTCAAATAATCAGCAGTCAGAGGATCAAAACAGAATTACTGCGTAAAAGTCCCTGTTTGCTGTTTTAGCATTTCCAGTAATAATTAATTCTGTTCTCACTGAACACGGAGAAACTGAAACGTTTGAAAAGAGAGAAATTCAACTCTCGGGCTGGATCAACATCTGTTTTCTAACTTTTTACACATGATTTCTGTTCCGCACCTATCTAAGTTATTGTTTGGCTATAGGAAAATGTATGAATCTTTGAGCAATATTTTGCGATTTCTTTGTTGTCTAATAAATAATGAATTTTAAAAAATTAGACGCTGTGGTAATGTTGTGTATGGTTGAAATAAAATTTAAAAAAAAATCAAACTGTGCGTCTGCCTACTGAGGTTTTATCATTTTGGCCAAACATACATGGGAATAGCCTAAAAATGAGTGTTTAAAAAAATAAAAAATTAAAGGAAAGAAAACACGTTTTATTAGTTATTTTTATGCAATGAATGCTTGTTCCTTTCAAACTTGGAATGCTTAAATAGACAACTTAAATGTGAATGTCATGTTAATAAAAATGCAAACCTTTTTTTTTTCTTGTTACAGTAGTCTCTCGTTTATTGCGAGTGTTAGGTTCATGTACATATGAACACTCTGAACACTTTGTCGTAAACTTTTCTTTTGACCTTTGCTGTAACCCTTTAGTCACAAATCACTCCTGAAATGTTTCTCCATCCACTCCATCCTGCCTGAACTCACTGTTCCACCTCCTCCCTCTCATTCACACACATGGACTCTGTCTTACTATGGCTGACTTTTGTTTCTCTTCTTTGAAGTGCATACCTCCACCTCTCCAAGGTCTCTTCCACCTGTTCGCTGTATATACAGTTCATGTACACTTTATTTTTGTATATTATGTACTGTACGTTCACAAACCGCAATACAGCAAGTCCGCAAAAGTCGAACCGCGAAGTAGCGAGGGACTACTGTAGCACTTATATATATATATATATGACATATAGATAAACTACTACTTACTACTTGTATTCCTACTTTGTAGTTTTTCACTTATCGCAGGGCTTCAGGGTATGGACCCTCCCTTGATAAATGAGGGACTACTGTAGCTCTTTCAATTTTACACATATTGAGTTGGAAGTTGGTGTGGTAGTAGCTGAGAGAGTCATATTCCACTATTGCATGAGATTGAGAATTACTTCATTTTCAAGGTTTAACCAAAACTAATACAGCTCCGTTGTTTCTCAACATGAAAAGTCTTATTCTGAAACTCTGACATGAAAGGTGACAGGCGGCTTATGTTGTGATTAAATATGATCTAATACAAACATCAGATATGCAGAATTTTGCTGTGTTTGAAAAGTACTGTTGCTGTTATTGGAGTGATGCGACTTAAATATTGTTTGTGCTTGGATCATAGAGCTTTCTGCTTTTAGACCTTTTCAAAACAAGGCTCATAGTTATAGCTCCTGGTTTGTCTGAAGCTTGTGAGGAATAAATGGTTCAAATTAGGCTGAAGTCACATTTTTCTTCTTCATAATATTCGTTGTTTATTAACATTACCTGATGCATAAATCATTAGTTGGCTGTAACGTCTCACACATTTGTTTAATTGATTACATTTTCCCTGTCAGCTTGAGCTTCGTACAACTCTGGAGTAGTTACAGATTCAGATGGTCGTGGAAAGTGCCACGATTGGCTCAGCCCCCTGTCAATCAAATATTTAGGTGCCATCATTGGATTGTGATGCAGTGTGAGAATCTGTTTTGTTCATCAGGGGCCACAGGGTGAGAGGTCAGAGGTCAGGCTCAGGGGAGTCATCAGCACCAAACAGCTCGATGACCCTTAACGGTTCTGAGATAGGAAGACTGTGACTCCCTGAGGAAGTTTATTCCATCACGGCTTGAGTGTGTTAGCGTGCCATATGCTGACCCAGTATTACCATTACGGTTGTTGCTGCTGTGTCACTACGCACGTGAGGTTCCACACACGTCAGGAGCCATGAGATCCGTCAGTCTACTGACACGTTTTTAGGGTGGGATGTCTGAACTTTGCTTCTCATCGCCGTGAAATATGAAACAACCATTCACAACACCCAAACTGTCAGTTAGAAAAACTGATGTGACCCAGTGGTCATTACGTTTCTGGTGCTGGAATACATTTTCTTGTTTGTATGCAGATAACAATAAAACAAAAAAAGAGGTAAAAATCACAAATTGTTTGAATTTTCCAGAAGTTGAACTCAACACATCCTGGATTCAGGCGTTGTTTTACATGTTTGGCACTTCTTGACCTGTAGACCGTTTAACCAAAGTAGAACAGTGAAAGAAAAATCAGTTTTACAAGTGTGTTTAGGTTTTGTACTCACCGTTTTGTATAAAAACTTGGGTGATAAGTTAAAATTGTAATACTATAAATAAAATAAAATAAAAATTAAAGTAGCCTTGCTTCAAGGAACACACGTCACCTGCAAAATAATAGAGATTGTGCATGTTCAGTTAGTGCTCAGCATACAGTATATGTTGGGGTTGTCTCAGCTATACCACACCAAATTATAGCTCAATATTTGTAAAACTGACTGAGTGTTAGCTATTTTGTGTTTTGCAAACATTTATAATCTATAAAATGTGAAGTAAAACCTAAAGAACTAAAATTAACACACAGAATCAAAGCAAATAAAATATAATTATAATATAAACTAATAGAAAGCCAACAAAAAAAATGGGCCTTGTCTGGTTCTGTTTTGGTCTCCGCCTTTGATTTTGGGGACTTTAGCATCTGTCTGTTTCTAAAGCCCTGGTGCATTTCTTCCGATCACGCTGGACGTGTCAGAGGTCAGCAGTTCTCATCTGCTGGATGCATTTCATCATGAATGACACACAGACACCCTGTTTAAAATAATGCTAGATCAATTAGCTTTCACTAGCGTCTGTAAGGTAGTAAAACAAACTAAAGCGGTATGTGCTGTTGTAAGAAACGGCACTCTTTTTGTCTTAAAGTGCTTCTTAAAGCTGTTTGACCATTTCACTTGTGCAAATCTGCCTGCGTGCATGTGCTTTCATGGCCACGTGTGCATTTTTGTGTGTGGCAGCAGCAGTTCAGTGGGCCTGTGGGAGCACTCTGTCCTCCGTTCCCACAATATGCGTCCCATGAGGCCTCGCTGTGACGTCAGGACAGAGGTACGAGCGAGTGCCCCGCTCTGAGGTCGTAGGTTCACTTCCTGTCTGTCAGGACCGAGGTGGGCAGAGTCCAGAGTGGAGCAGCAAACTGTCTGCGTGATCCCTCCGTGGTTTGACCCCTCTGTCTCCGTCTCTTGCAGGCTATGTGGCTGATGCTGCAACAGGAGGAGCCGGAGGATTTCGTCATCGCCACAGGGGAGGTGCACAGTGTGAGGGAGTTTGTGGAGAAGGCTTTCAAACACGTGGGAAAGACTATTGTGTGAGTGGACACATAAACACAGAACTCGTCAGTTTGAGTGATGCCCTAGATTAATCCGTCGCCTCGGAGAGATTGATATTTGCTTTTTTCTTACACCTCCTGCTCTCACTATCACAGATTTGAACACGAAAACCATTTTCTTCCCTCTTGTCTTGGAAAATGTTGACTTTGCCTTAAAAACAAATCCGACGTGTTTTTTTGTCGACATAAACTGTAAAAATTGAGCAGGAAGGCTGAAAATGTGGAGCTTCTGCTAAATTTGTCTCTTCAGGTGGGAGGGAAAAGATGAACAGGAGATTGGTCGTTGCAAAGAGACGGGGGTGGTACACGTGAAGGTGGACCCTAAATTCTTTCGTCCCACTGAAGTGGTAAGTCCAGTTTCACTTTCACCCTGTTTGGGTTTTCAATGACAATTATACCTAAACGTTTGGGACTTATTTTATAATTTTGCATGAATGAGACCCAAACATGAAGATTTTATGTAAATATATTATACTTCGTTCATTTAAGCTCCAGCTAAGCATAACCTTTAACATACCCTCATGCATTTCCAATAATCCAGGTAGAAAAATCTAAAAAGTTAAGTCAGGTCCTCTGGACGGGTTCACAAGACAAAAAAATTGTAGGAACCTTTCGTCTTTTATCCGAAAGACTTCTTCCGTCGTAGTCAGATAGCCGTTAACAATTCATCAGTTTTACAAAAGCAAAGCAGATTAATATTCGGGATTGTTTTATTACATAAACTGAGGAGGCTGCAAAACAGCCCCACACCATGATACTACTACCTCCATGTCTGCTCTACGGTCCCACAAACCAACATTTGAAATAGTTTTCTTGATTTGTTTTATTTTAGCACAATAAATAAAGAACTTAAAGTTAACTTTAAAGTGCACATTTCCAACTTTGTTATATTTTCCTTTTAGTTCTCTCCCACCTTATAAATTAAACCCAAATTTAGTATCATTGTCATGGTATGTACACACTGTTTACCTGCTTTGTATTTATTATTATGCTAAAGTGACATTTGAAAAATCACTCAAAAACTTTGAAAAAGTTCTTGAGTTTCCCTTTAGGGGAAGTGTACAAATCACGTTTTCTATTTCCAGAACCTCACATTAGCTCTTGTAATTATTTGTCAAAGAATGTCCTGCAAGGTGGTATATCTTGTAAACTGATTCCTCCCTTGATTTTCTGAACACCTACTCGTTTTTTCCTGAAATTAAGTCCAGATGGACAGTCAATGTCTTGGCTTTTCACATGCAGAGTTATTGTACAGTATATTTTGTTTTGCCTTGAATATGACCTGTAATGAACTTTTTTCTTTGATTTCTTTCCTGCAGCAAAATCTCTAAGTTTGTAATTTAATTTGATAAAATATTGGATTCATAATTGTAGTTCTGCAATGATATTAACCTTTTCTAAAGCTTTTATGTGATTGTTGCATGTATTATCAGGGAGCCATTGTCATAGTCCGTGCTGCAGAAAGAGATTGCTCTAAAACGTCAGTTCTGTATAATTCATCACGTAGCACAGTGAATGTTTCCTGGTTTATATACTTGACCTTAACATGCATGTTGCTGTTTTTTCTGCATGTATCAGATTGCCGGTCATTGTGTCTGAGACTATACACTTATCAGCTATAAAGGGTGCAGTTGACAGCCTCGGGCTGCCTATTGTATGCTTTTAAACTGCTGGAAACAAGCCAACCCACCTCTTTAAGACTAATGTTGGATGTTTCCTGTCTGGAATAGGTGCCGATATTCCGTCAAACAAACCTGAAAATCAAAGTTCATGCTCAATAATCCAGGTTAAAAAATCCAACAAAGTTAAGTCAGATCCTCTGGATGGATTGTTTTTGTTGAAACGTTTCGTCCTTCATCCAAGAGACTATCAGTCCAAGGAGCCACAAGTTACCTCAAATTTTATATATTCTGTAGTAGTCCCTCACTACTTCGCGGTTCGTTTTTCGCGGACACGCTCTATTGCGGTTTTTCAGAATAAGATTGGACATGACACACAATTGGCTGATTGATGGATGAGCCGCACGATCGGCATGGAATTTTTATTTAAAATGAATTGTTTTAAATTTGTTTTAGCACCTGCTGCACCTTTGTGCAGCCCATACTGCAGGATAAGCTTCCTGCTACAGCTGATCAGCTGTTCTCCGTGCAGAGCGAGGAAGTTGGCATGGCCAAGAATGCTTGCAAGTGGCTGAGAACAGAGCTGAAATAATTTCATTTTGTGCTCTGTTAGAGCGTTTAGAGTTTAGAAACATTGTTTAGAATATTGCAAAGGTGTGGGAAGGTTTTACAACTCATATATACATATACATATATATATATATATATATATATATATATACATATACATACATATATATATACATATATACATATACATACATATATATATACATATACATATATATATATATATGTATACATATATACATATACATACATATATATACATATATACATATACATACATATATATATACATATATACATATACATACATATATATATATACACATATACATACATATATATATATATATACATATACATACATATATACATATATATATATACACATATACATACATATATATACACATATACATACATATATACACATATACATGCATATATATATATATATACATATATATATATATGTGTATATATATGTGTGTGTATATATGTGTATATTTATGTATATATATGTATATATATGTGTGTGTATATATGTGTATATATATGTATATATGTGTGTGTATATATGTGTATATATATGTATATATATGTATGTATATATGTGTATATATATATATATATATATGTATGTATATATGTGTATATATATATATATGTGTGTATGTATATATGTGTATATATATATATATATATATATATATATGTATATATGTGTGTATATATATATATATATATGTATGTATATATATATATATACAAACCGGATTCAAAAAAAGTTGGGACACTAAATTAATTGTGAATAAAAACTGAATGCAAAGATGTGGAGGTGCCAACATCTAATATTTTATTTAGAATAGAACACAAATCACAGATCAAAAGTTTAAACTGAGAGAATGTATCATTTTAAGGGAAAAATCTGTTGTTTCCAAATTTCATGGCGTCAACAAATCCCCAAAAAGTTGGGACAAGTCCATTTTTACCACTGTGTGGCATCCCCCCTTCTTCTTCCAACACTCAACAGACGTCTGGGGACAGAGGAGACCAGTTTCTCAAGTTTAGAAATAGGAATGCTCTCCCATTCATGTCTAATACAGGCCTCTAACTGTTCAATCGTTTTGGGCCTTCTTTGTCGCACCTTCCTCTTTATGATGCGCCAAATGTTCTCTATAGGTGAAAGATCTGGACTGCAGGCTGGCCATTTCAGTACCCGGATCCTTCTCCTACGTAGCCATGATGTTGTGATTGCTGCAGAATATGGTCTGGTATTATCGTGTTGAAAAATGCAGGGTCTTCCCTGAAAGAGATGACGTCTAGATGGGAGCATATGTTGTTCTAGAACCTGAACATAGTTCTCTGCATTAATGGTGCCTTTCCAGACATGCAAGCTGCCCATGTCACAAGCGCTCATGCAACCCCATACCATCAGTGATGCAGGCTTCTGAACGGAGCATTAATAACAACTTGGGCTATCCTTGTCCTCTCTGGTCCGGATGACATGGCGTCCCAGTGTTCCATAAAGAACTTCAAATCGTGACTCATCTGACCACAGAACAGTCTTCCATTTTGCCACACTCCATTTTAAATGATCCCTGGCCCAGTGCAAACGTCTGAGCTTGTGGAGCTTGCTTTGAAATGGCTTCCTCTTTGCACTGTAGAGTTTCAGCTGGCAACGACGGATGGCACGGTGGATTGTGTTCACTGACAATGCTTTCTGGAAGTATTCCTGAGCCCATTCTGTTATTTCCTTGTCAGTGGCATTCCTGTTTGAGGTGCAGTGACGTTTAAGGGCCCGGAGATCAAGAGCATCCAGTAGAGTTTTACGGCCTTGACCCTTATGCACAGTGATTGTTCCAGATTCTCTGAATCTTTTGATGATGTTATGCACGGTTGATGATGATAACTTAAAAGTCTTTGCTATTTTACGCTGGGTAACACCATTGTGGTATTGCTGCACTATCTTTCTGTGCAACAATGGTGGAATTGGTGATCCTCTTACCATCTTGGCTTCTGAGAGACACTGACACTCTGAGAAGCTCTTTTTATACCCAATCATGTTGTCAATTGACCTAATTAGTGTTAATTGGTCTTCCAGCTGTTCATTATTTGCTCAGTTTCCTTTTTCCAGCCACTTATTGCTACTTGTCCCAACTTTTTTGGGATTTGTTGACACTGTGAACTTTTGAATCAACATATTTTTCCTTTAAAATGTTACATTTACTCTGATTAAACTTTTGATCTGTCATCTATGTTACATTACGAATAAAATATTGACATTTGCCATCACCACATCATTGCATTCAGTTTTTATTCACAATTTGTTTAGTGTCCCAACTTTTTTGGAATCCGGTTTGTGTATATATATATATATATATATTTATATATATAGTGGTATATATATATATATACACACATATAGTGGTATATATATATATA